TCACCAGACCCGATTTTTCCTAATCAATAAATCCGATTATAACGCAAGCTCTGGTTATAACGAACTCTGGTTATAACAAACTAAAATTCTCCAGCCGGTCAGTTCGGTATAGGCAGCGTCAACTGTAAATGTCTGAACGTGTCGATTTCTTTCCTTTAGAAACGTTTCAATTATGTAATGTAATCATGTGACAAATTGATGAAAACTGTCAACGTTACGTAATAACCGATAATCCAATAATAGTATTCGGGATAGTAAATGGCAATGACATTTGCAGCGAAAGATAAATTTCCGTTATAACTTGGGAACGGACAGTACTAAGTAAGCATGGTCCCGGGTTGCATTGAGTACTTTTTGACTCTATTACTCTCGTTGGAGCTATTGGTTACGTCAAAGCTGCGTGTTTGATACTGTTACATTTTTTGTTAGCGTTTTTGACTCTTTTGGCGTATTTTGTACCTATGCAATTTTCTAGACAGGGTCGTTAGGGCCAGCCACTCGTTCATCCTTTCCAATATCGCTACTTGTTTCGTCGCGCAGTTTTGTTATCGACTTTCGTAATAATTGTACTACGTCAATTGTATCCATTGTACCTCCTGTATCGATCGATTTAAACGTGGCCCATATGGCGCATATGACAATGCATGCAGAATAATCAACTGATCAATCAATAGAGCAAGTATAAATAATCACCAATGCGTTAATTAAAATAGCAAATTATTAATATATTTAATGTGTTCTAGAAACGACTTTGGACATACGCTTATCTTTGTGATATATTTATATAGAAACATTATTAATTCTATGCACGTGAAAGGAAAGTAACACATATCTCGCATTATTATTTAGCATATTGATAGCTCAGTTGTCAAATATGGGAAAAAGAGAAAGAGATTGAAATAACAAGTGTCGAAGAACATTTACACAATGATACGAAAAAAATAACAAGCGTTGACGAAAATTTACATGAATAATAAGTACTACGATGCGATATATTGTAAGCTATGAATGTAAAGACCAAATTATTTGGTTGATACCATCTGAACTATGTGCAGACAAGTTATTGTCAATACTGTAAAACTCGATCCAAACGTAATTATTATACAAGTTGGCGTCCGTAATTTGATGCGTATACGGAACGATATAACCGTTGATCGGTATATTATTACAAGGAAAACTAACGTATGGATAATTAATGTTATTATTATTCAAGTTTTGGTTGTCGTCCGTACTTTGATGCGTATACACCGGAAGGTCGTGAATGACGGTATGACCGTTGATCGGTATATTATTATAATAAAAATCAGCGTATGGGTGATTAATAACATTATTATTCAAACTTTGACTGCCGAGGATATGATTCTGGAGGACGGTCATGGTTCCATGTTGCGAGTTTTGCTCAACAACATTATCATTGTTGTTGCTGCCGTTGTTGTTATTGTTGTTGTTGCTATCGTCGTCGTCATTGTCATTGTCATTGTTATCGATATTACTGCTGCTGCTGCTGCTGTTGTTGTTGTTGTTGTTGTTGTTGTTGTTGTTGCTCTTGTTGTTGCTGTTGTTATTGTCATAGTCATAGTCATAGTTATAATTATAGTTATTTTTATTGTCATTGCTGTTCTTATTATTGTTATTATCATTATTATCATAATTGCAACTTTCATCTACAGTCTCTCCATTTTTACTGTCAGTTTTTGCCTTGTCATTTTTATTCTTTACGAATGCGTCTTTATTCACTTCTCTAAACAACCAAGTTTGATTTCTTTTATTCCGTTTGGTTTTTTTCGGTTTATACACGTACTCGGGATACGTAGCTTTGTGTTGTAGTAGAGCCAATTTAGCAAGCGTGGCGAAATAGTCTTTGACAGCATCTGATTGAATATCCCATTTATCTTTGGCGAGCTTGGAAATTTTCTGCATTGTGCACTTGCCGAGATTTTGTATACGATATTCGTTTGCGAAATTTTTACGAAATAAAATCCATGCGTTAGCTGGACGAGGTGGCTTTCTTTTGGTTCGAATTAATTGTTGATACCGCGTGGAACAAAGAAGATCTTCGAGAGAAGTTTGAAGGTCGTATGGTGGGTTGAATATGAGATTGTTTTCGCGTGGGGTAAGTGTATCGATAAAATCAGAGATGGAAAGTGTTGGAGGAATTATTGGGGAAGGAAAGTGATTTTGGTCTGGCTTGATTGAACGGAAAATAGACATGGTTTATTGATTTGCCAGTAATGAGGAAACGTAGTAGTAGCGGGTTTATATAACAACAGTTAATGTATAACCTGTTTGCAAACCAAAAAGCATGCTAGCCTGATTAAGGAAATTTTCTTCTTCGACAAACAGTCACTTAATAAAATTGGTTAGGATCATCCGAAGCAAAATCCGAGACCCTAAAAAAAAGGTTCCTGCAAAAATATCGGTATTATTATAAGCCTATTGACAGATACAGAAAAGAAAGCTTTTAAAATAGCTTCAACTTTTAACCGGTTTCTATGGCGAGTAAACTTTTGGGTCTGAATTATTGTTTGACATATACTCGGAACGCGGATTTAATTAAAGTAAATTTATATATACTCTTGTCTTCTACGTTGAGCTATAAAGAATACATAGGTTCTGTTCGTTTTCAACGTATGTAATGCCACTTTGGTCTCTCAAAAAGGGTCGAGTGCGCATACTAGTGCTATGGATAGAAATACAGAACTCCGCTTTCATTTTTGTAATAATAAACTTAGTTATTAAAGAGAAATCGAATATGCTTGATTTTAGTTGCTGTAGTGGGGAGAGAGGTTTTATTTTAATAACGTGGGGAGTTGTGTCACTGTTGTCGAACAATGCCATAAAAGTCTCGTTGCTGATTGTTCTTATTTGGAGTTGTCCCAAATTTGTATATGACTACAATGAAATTTGCGCCAATGGGTGAATGGTTACGTTCATCATGTGACTCGAATTGAGCCTTTCTAAGATGGGTACGTTGCTTCACATAATAACGCACAGGAGCGTGTTTTACTTATACCCAATAGTACGTGAGCCGTAGAATTCAACTATTTATGCCCTCCGTTTTATCCCCAACAAAATTCTCAACGAAAGCGAGCCCCAAAACTTTCGCTTCTACCTACGTAATTTGTTTTCAAATGATAAATATAGACGCTGCGCATTTAATATGTACAGTGTAACCTCACCAGCATACATAAACTCGAATTCGAAAATTTTGACTTGAATTTCACCTTTGACATCTTTTCTTTCGATTCAACCGATCCAAACGATTCAACTGAAACAACTTGAAAAAAACCAACCAACCAAATTTTTTATGATTATATACCACACGTTCATACACCCATTCATACATACACCCATTCATACATACACCCATTCGTACATACACCCATTCGTACATACACCCATTCCTACGTACACACCTACACTTCACACTATATATTCGTATCGGAATGCCTCCCTACTCGCCCACTTCTCCATCGTCCCTAAAGGACTTGATATCACTCCACTCGACCCACTTGACCACCTCTGACATATGCATTCTCAACGATCCTCCATACAAGCTGACGATCTCCCTCGACATGCTTCTCCCGAATAGTAACTGCCGAGCAGTTCGCTCTCCGCCTCGTCCTCAGAACCCATGGATACTCTTCCGAAAAGACTTCGAGGCCAGGTACAGGAAGCATTCTCCAACAACTCCTGCGAGGAAAATCTCATCATTCGCAAGTGAAGCATGGAAAACGGGCGGGAGAGACGTTGCAAAATTCTTTGAAGTATTGGCGAAAGTGGCAGCGATTAGACATCAAATGATATACCCAACTTACAAGTTCTCGCCAAAGAAGACTTCGCCAAAGGAAAGAGAATGGGTGTTCAAACCAGACCCAAGAAGTGCTCAGTGTGAGGTAATGAATGAAGACAAGGACAGAGAGGTGGGTGGAGTGAGTGATTGCTTGAGACTTGCGGAAAAAGGAGTCGGTTTTGAGGAGAGAATAGACGCGGAAGAGAGAATAAGAATAGAATTAGAAAAAGTAGACGAATTAAGAGTAGAATACTTACACCAAGAGAGCGAAACGAGTCCAGAAATGGAAGAATGCAAGGTGGAAACGACATCTTCCACTGACTTTGCTGCGGCGTCTCTTCCAACACCGCAGTCGGGTTTGCTTTCTGCGCCAGTCTCAGATGTGACGATCATATCTCCTGATCTATTCCATCAACTCGACTCGGTTGGCTCTCCTGACGCGACGTTTGACACGACCGCATACCCTCGGCTCTCGTCCAACAATGATATTTGTGAGGTCTTCCTCAATCAAGATGTCAGTGAAATATGTAACAGTGATCTAATGAATATCGATAAGTTTGGTTTTCCCTTTAATCATCATGGAAGTTGTGTAAGCAATGATATGATTGACAATGGCGTTGGTGGGTTGGGGGATGGTGTGGGTAGTGATGCAGTTGATAGTGGCGTGAATGCATATGATTTTACCAATGAGTTTGCGCAGTACGGTTTGCCAAACATATCTGCGACCGAACTGTTACGATATGAACAGATTGAAATGGAGTACTTTGACTTTGAACTTTATCAACAAGAGACATCTGCAATTGATTCACCACTTTCGTGTTCGCTTGCTCAATTGTCTGCTCCGCCGCCTGGTGTGGGTTCTGCGTACTGTGGAACCAGGTTTTGCAGCGAATTTCACGCGAGTGAAATAGCAGAAACACAACAATTGCAGTCTCAGTTGGATCAATACCAATTGCAACAGCAGCAGCTGGAAAAGCAACTGGATTCTCAACTGGACTATCATCAACAGTGTCTCCAAAGTCAATCTCTGTCAAGCTAAAAGTCTGAAATATGGCTGCAAAACTGGTGAGATTGCTAATGACTATGATATCGTGCAAAAAAAAAAAAAGTAAATAATTTTGTTAACCTTCCAACTGGGATAATTAGGATTTATCCTTGTCGTCTTTGACTTAGCAGGCCCAAAACTTATTCCAGTCTCGTTACCTCATTCTCGTGGACATTTGCGTAGGCGTGAAACTATAGTATCGTTTATTTACTCCTCATATATGAATATGAATTGTTATTATAGCGAAAAGGAAAAAAAAAGGAAAAAGGAAAAAAAAAAAGGACAATATTACACCATAATAACATTAGAATTTAAACCATGAACGATTCTGACACTTACAACATTTCATTTTACCACTCCCCTTTTGTATACTACCGAGTTCCTATTAATATCGATATGTATCTTGTTTATGAAATAGGAATTACTTGTTTGTATAATAGGTTGAAGGAATGGTAAAGGGAAGTGTGGCATATATAAGAAGTCAATAAGACTATAAGTGTATGTGAGAGTGTAAGATTAGTGGGTGGGTTGTATGTGAATGCGAGCGTTGTCTCGCTGTATATCTATATGTCTATATATATATGTTTGTAAGTTGTTTAGCTCGTTCTTGGGACATGCATGGTATACTGAATAAACACCATTCTCAGACTTGTTTGGAACAGGACACTCTTTGGGGGGTTATTAGATAAGTGGCTGTGGGTCAACAGGGTGTATAGCGCAGTGGATCGTGAAGACGGGTATTTGAAAAGAAACTGACGTTAGCTAGGCGTACAAGCTTTACTTTATCTGTGTAATCTGACGATGAATCAAGATCACGACGCAAAAGATCGACAACAGTTTATTATTTTAGCAATTAAGGGTCCTATAGTAAAATATACAAAGTTTACGTTCTTTAGCAATATTTCTCTGGTAACTAGTAACGTGCCGCAAAAACAAATGAAATAAATGAATGAAACGGTTGGTTAAAAACTAGCCAAGTTATAAAACAGTAAATAACTTGCGTAAAAGGGAATTTCAGATTTGACAGAGAGATGTAATTGTCATTAAATTACTAATAATAAGCCGGAATGCTAAACCATAACGACAGTTATAATGTCCAATTAATTGCATTATATATCATTAAACAATATTAATATCTGTAAAGTAGATCAAAATTTAAAATCGGAGTTTCAAAACACGTCACTGAACACGTTTGATTGAGTCCCGAATATAGCATCAATGAAACTATAATTGATGCTGTGGCTTTCTTTAATGGACGGTCTTTGCCACAAACTCTTATCTTTTCATAGCCAAGCGTTTACATTGATAAATATATAGATTTTATTCGACGACTAGTTCATTTTAAGTTCCACTTAATGTAACGCAGCTTACAAGTATTTGATAAATATGGGACTAACTATAAATCTATTATAAACGCGAATATGGTGAACAAATTGTCAGTAAATGGTTAATCTATCGTTATGCTTTATATTTGTTTGTAATCCATTGGTTTATTTCAAGTAATTTTATACAAGGTCACTGTATACGCTAATAGTAAACTACGGCCGGGAATTTAGTCCATTTCCTACGTCACTGCAACGCCCCAAACTTTAAAAGTATCAAACGATGCGTACTGACGTTGAAGCTTTCATGGAACAATTAAACCGTTAACTTACAGAGGCATACTAGTATCGATACGACCTCTCTTGGTCAATCACGTTACACCGCAGACAGTGAGGAAATCACTCAAATTTCCTAAAATCCCTCCGCAGACTGCGGCTTCGGGTGAAGCATGAAGAAGATCACAGAAGGGCCAATTCCAGGAGAGATCACAGATAGTGAATTTTATCGTTTTTTTTTTCCCTGCGTTGACAGGTTTACTTGCTCTCTACCAACTTTAAGACTTGGCGATTTAATCATAGTGAACTTTGGTGATAGTGAAAACAAGTGATCGTCGCCTTCCATAAATGATAAACAAGTAATAATCTCAATGAATTTTCTCCGAGAGAGTGAATTCGATCCACCGAAAACCAACAAAGTAAACTTTTAACAATGAATATAGGGTTTGTACTTTCAATTTACTACTCAGTTACATTCAGGCGTTGATCAGGGATATATAATTTCGACATTACAATACCCATAATAGAAATTAGTATTTGTGGAAAAGTCATACCGACCGTTGGTATTGTCATTCATTGGATTATTGAATTGCCAATAATACTTAAAACCGAGGGCACGGAAAAAATATAAATTGAGTGGATTTTTCCATACTGCCTGCCAGGCTCAGTCGAACGAAAGTTGATAGTAGATAATACTCGAATAATAATAGACAGTCATTCGATCATCATAGAACAACCAACAAGCAAAACTCGAACCGGTATCGAAGCGGAAAATAATAACGATGGAATACGAATGGAAAGATATGGAAGTCGAACTTCGTAAAGCGGGAATTACAGCGCCCCTCGATTGGTTTAAAGGCATCACGTATGAAGAATTTTCGATATTGCTTAACCCTCCGTACAATCTCTCAATGTCGTTTGAGGAACTATTCGCCCCAAGCAAAAAACGAAGGGACCGAAAAACGCCTCCTCGCCCTTTGAATAGCTGGATTATATTCAACAGGGATTATACCGTTAAATGCAAACATTCCGACGAAGCAAGCAGTAAGGATGGCAGGCGTTTGGCAGCAACAGCTTCCAAAGTCTGGAAGGAAAAAATGCAAGAGGATACCGAATATTTTAACATTCTTTCGAAAATCGCGGAAAACGTACATAACATTATGTATCCTGATTATCGATACGATCCTTCATGTAAAAAGGAAAAATTTCGAAAGAAAAAGACCTGTGCGGGTTCAACGCAAAAGCGTAAATGCGTAGCAGCAACAAACACTATGCGCAAAGAAACTGGCGAAGAAAACGCTGATAATAGCAAACTCTTGAATAATGACATAGACATTGGTACAAATATAAACACTTCAAATATTAGTCAAGATATAGCCGTCCCTAGCATTGATGGTAATAATGATTGGATTCCTTGTCCGTATCTTTATTATCTTGATATCAATGAACCGCCAAGCGATAGCGAATATTTGGACGCAGCAAATAAAGACGCCATCGATGCCCTTTTTGTCGATATCACCAGCAGTCCAGATAGTAACGCTTATTTTACGCCACACAACTCGCCAATTATTGATCAATCGGAAGAGTATAACCTGCCATTATCTCGCGATGGTTTTACAGGGTATTTGTCATGGTTTCAATCGGACGAATTTATGGAAAACCCATTTTTCGGTAGTCAACAGCAATACTTGTAATTTCGCATACGGTTAAATAGATTATTCGTATTTTAGATTTTTTTTCTCCTCTCTCTTCGACTTTTCGTTTCGATATGTATATGCTGTTTCATAGTTAAAAATTAATTCCGAACACTAGTATAAGTATAAGTAAATTAAGATGTTAGTTAATTATTTTAGTGCCCATGTTACTATTTTTATTTTATTTTATTCTTTGTATTCTTTTTTGTTTGCTCAACAATATAAAACTTAAGTTACAATGCTAAGAACAGGTGCGAAAGTATTGTTCGCCGAACAATTCCCATTAAGTTTTTTACGCCATTGGTGTATCAAATTATGCTATTCTGAAAAAGAGGGGGGAACTTTGCAATAAATTTGGTAAATCACGTGATTAAAATGAAACAATTTCCAATTTCATACCATGGGGTGGCTTGGTGTTTGACACTTTTATTTACACATTTGCAGACACAATGTCAATTGCGTAACAAGTAACAAGCCACCAAATATGACAGGTCATCCTTCACAATGGTCAACTTGCATGATGATCAGCGCAAAGAAAATTTCAGAAAAAAAAAAAAAAGAAAAGGACACAGCGGACAATGAGACGTTATAATGATGTTATTAAGGCTACTTGCTTAGTCTTTACTGAGCCTCACATGCGCAGATTGCCTCTAATGATGTAAGTGATGCTTAGTATAGATTGATGCTTAGTATTGGTTGATGCTTTCAACAGTGGCGTTTTTCATGATACGATTTAACTTTGGGCTCCAACTTTACCTCGAGAAAGAGTAATTATTGCGATATCAATACGAGTGTTTATTTAGATGCCGGATTTGTCATATTACAAACGCATTAATTGAAACATGCCATCTCACAACAAACATGAACTATATCGATGTCATCGGTTGATGTAAGGAAGATTTTTTACATATGGTAACAAAATCATGATTTGTAATGTGATGATGACATATAATACTGGTTCACAGCTCGCGGGGAGAATGCGGGAAAAAAAAAAAAAGGAAATCAAGACTGATCAAGAAAATATTGCAAATTTCGCATTTGTTCAAAGCGTGCATGGGACGTTCAAACAACGGGATCCACAGATGCCATCTCGTCATGACAATTGTTGATACTGCAAAAGACACTGGGATTCCTAATTTGGCGACGGGGGTTCCGAAATCAAATTGTTTTTTTAGCATGAAAACTTTTGATCATAACAAGTTTGCCCTTTATTCCCAAGAAACCCATCGACAATTCTGATACAGCATCTTTTCTGAAACGAAATTGTAAGTGAAAGGGCATGTCGTGTATTCCTATAAGATTGATTACTTTTGTTAATGCAGGCTCTATACTCGTCTTCATTCTATGTTCGGATTAACCGAAAATCGGCGTATACGCATAAACCTTTTAACTTTCGTCAATCGTTTCTGCATCGGGCTAACAGGCTATTGATAAAAACCATTGATTTGGAGGTTGGTTTGGTTAACTTGTTACTGTCTTTGGAACATGAAGCGTTATGTTTTATGCAAATTATGCATCTTTTTTACATAGGAAACGTCATAAAGTCATTCATTCTCCTGTCTCCCATTTTGGTCTAATAACAAGTGTCGTACAATGTCCGAGCTTTGACGAAAGTAGACGATGATCACGAGTCGGATATTGGCTATTCAAAGCCGTCGTGCTAAGGCGAATAAAGTTCTGTAGAACCGTTGCCATATTTGGAGCGAGTTCAGAACCTCATCAGCATTGGGCTGAGCAAGGCCAAGAGGCAGGTGTGCAACACTAGCGCTAGGATGATAGTGGATTGTCATTTGCTATGAGATCGCGTATTGCGTATAGTATGAAAAGACGAAACCCGTTCATTGCTCATTGCTCATTGATCTAATCTAAATTATCGCGACCGTTTACGGAAGACAAGCAAGTTTCAACAAGTTCTTTAACGCATCGAGCCAGGGTGGGTACCGTAAAAGAGACAGTTATGCAGTGGTACAATTAAAAGTTTGTTGATAATAAGCAGTTCGGATGTAACTCGAGTTATTCATTGTGGTTTCCAAAAGAGAACCACTCCGCCAACACGTTCAAACCATCAAGTGGTTTCAGACTTGTTTATACGTTTCGTGTTGAATTGGTATATCATAATTAGACAGTTACGTTCATTTAGTGCTTGATCCAATTGATAGATAACCGAATAAGGTTTCGGAAATAGCCCACAATATTTAATTATGCAGAAAAACGCTTGTTGTTAATAATTTTTGCTGTACAGAAAATTTTTGTTATATTTACTCGGAATAAATCTTTTAACTTTGAATAAACGTTTGTGTTTGTTTGTTTTTTTAAAAAAAATTAGCGTATGCATTGTTCTGTTATTCGTTTATTTTACAAATGATACGGGCGTTAATTTAGCCTATGCAGGTCTCAATGACGATATTCGAACGAGTAATTTCATTGACTAGTTACCGAAAATATCCAACAATGTTTAAGCTAAACATGCCACAAAATTGCCAGCCCTTTTGTTATACAAATTATAAACTTTATTGAACTGCTCAAAATTTCCAATTTCTGCCGAGACAATATATGAGACGATAATTTCGATAGCAAGCTTTTCATAACAGATAGAGAGGTTAGCATGAGTACAGTATGGACTTTCTCTAAAATACAACTAGTCCAAGAGCAGAAGTGTCAAATGTACAAGACTATCAAATATTCCCATTAGTATGTAAATGCAAACCCGCTGTAAACGACAAGTCCATATCAGACATATGGTCCCGATGCATTGCATTTAGAGAGGTGTTTGTTGTATATCGGAATTAATCGGCCATGTCCCTTGTGTCTATCGTTTGCGCAGACGAATCTACAAATGTCTTTGCTACCGCATTAAACGATGCATACTCCATGTATGCTTCCATCGCTATGAAAAAGCAGCAGCTTGTGCAGTCGGTATGTAAACTACGTTTTAGCCATCGCTTGCGGGTTGTTTGACAAAAAACCTTGGAATGCGTCTTCATGTTGAGCCGATGTTGCTATAAAGCATCATATTATCCCACGTTCAGAAACAGTTTTGATGCTAGTTCTATTAATTAATAGAAAGTTAATTGCCTCTATCAAATCATAATCTTTTTGTTAACACATTATCAACCTCTTTGAACAAACCGTAAAGCTGTTCCCCAGCAAAAGTCATCAGACAACTACCCACGCCGGGCCAAACATGTGCTCTTTTCTTTTGAATCCAACATTCTTTTATATATCGGCCTGACTCGGCAGAATCAATCCTTTATCCGTCTAGAGAAACAAAGATTCATTTGAATGTAAATAACGAATTTACTCGTCGACATTTGATGAATAGTTAGGTAAAGCTACTTACCGGTCCCGTTTCTTGTAGCGTTTTTGAATGTTGTAGAGCTTCAACACTTGCGCTCTTAGTGTCTCTATACTCATTTACAGACATTTGAGTAAAACAGAGTGCAGTCATTTTGTCAAATCTTGCATACTCTCGGGACAGCAATCCGAGTTGTAGCAAATCGTGAGGCTCTCTTGTCCAGCATTACAACTGTTCTCTCAACAACAGTCCAAAGCTAACCATAGTGTTTTCTGCTAGCCAGCTAGTTTGCTTTACAAACTAGGTTCATGTGGGCTACCGTCCATAATACAGTACTTTTAATAGATAACATAACAAACCGTCACATTCGAGTGCATGGGTGTTAAAGAATGGTTCATTGCTTTATGCCCGAAAGCGTCAGAACGGTGAACCGAGGCCAAGCAAGCTTAGCAAAAGATAATGCGAAGTGGGCGTTGAGGAAGAAAAGCCAAGTCATTTCGTGGACGAAGATTACCAGCGTAGATCACTCAAATAAAGTTCAACCAATAGCGATCTTCTCTTACAGTAAAGTTTAATACATAAATTAATATATGTAAAAATCTGATGTGTTTATTCACAGTCCACGTAATACATACGACAAAAAGTTGCTATGATACAAAAAGTTCCTACAATTTCCCCCAATAAATATATTCAAAAAAAGTTGATACAAGAAAAGATACTCATCCACACGTCCCCATTGTAATACCCATGTTATTTAATTTCCATAAAGCCCGCTCCCATCTTCAAAAGAAGGAGACGTCATTCCATAATTTTCATTATATAAAATTGGAGCAAATAACGGAGGATTGTAAGAGTTATTGTTCATACGCATATATTCTAAATTGAAATTTGGTATTAATGGAATAAGCGAACTATTTTGCACGCTCGTCGCTCTGTTATCGTCCGATAATACAATTTCTCCCAAACTTGCGTCCTCTCTTGCAAACTCAAAATTGTTGCCGTCATCATCTATTGCGTAAACGTAAGATTTGTCAACGGGATCATAAGCGAATTCCGGTCTTCCCAGCGGATTCATCGAAGATCGTCTTCTTTCCCGTGGTCGAGGTTTAAATTTGTATTCGGGATACATGGCCTTGTGACGACGTTTGGCAATCTCGGCCAAACCGTTAAACCACTTTTTTGCATCATCGCTTAACTTGTCCCATTCGGGTTTTGCATTTTTGACAATCTTTTGAGCGTCTGCACCAGAGCCGTTGGAAAGTAATTTTAACCTGGCTGCGTAATCTTTCGAAAATAATATCCAACTGTTTGGTGGACGCGGTGGTGGTTTCTTGCTGTTACGTGGTCGTTTGCTCGGTGCCAATAGTTCGTCGATTGACAGCGTTAGGTCGTATGGGCAGTTTGTTGGAATTTCCGAGTCGGACAGAGATGGAGAGGGCTCAGGAACAGAAGTGTTTTCAGAGTATATTGTGGAACGAGAAGCAGTGTTTTGAATTGTTTTTGTTGTTGTTTTTGTTGTCGTTGTCGTCGATGTCGCTGACGTCGATGTTGGATTTATGGTAGAGTGTACGTTTGACATTTTCAAAGAGGAAAATTGCGAGTCTGGTAATGAAGATTGTTGAAATATTGATTGTAATAAATGTTGTTGTGATGGAAATTGCTGTATTTGTGTTTGTGTTTGAATTTGTGGTTGTAGTAATTCTTGTGATGGTCTTTGACTACCGCTGTTTATGAATGGGTGGTTTGGTTCAAATGAAAATGATACCAATGACGAAAACGAGTGGCGGCGAGAAGATAAAGTTTGTGTAGAAAGTTGTTGCGTTTGCATCATCTAATTTTTACAAGTAACATTAGGAAAAATGCGTTCTTTTATATTTTACGGCGATTACAATTATGGGGGATAAGAAATACCAAAAAATGTTCATTCGCCATACATTTGAGTGACACAAAGCCGTCAAGCCGCCACAGCCGTGCCACTTCGGTTTTAACACTATGTTGCACAAATAAGAAGACGAATAGTTGTTCTCGCTGAAGCAAAACCTATGTATCTAATTTGTTGATAAAGCCGAGATAAGAAGATGAAAGAGTTATGGAGGCGACGAATTTTTGAGAAAGTGAGGATGGGTGTGGCTGGTGACCATTCTAAATCTTAAACTCAAAATTTTTAATTCCTGCAAGTCGTTCTATAACCAACAGCTCGGCTCATATTAGTTGTTGACGAAAGACAATATAATGTTCAATGAGCTGATACATTTTTAAACTCCTATCAGTTATTGAAGTTCCATTAGAGGTAAGGCGAAATCAAAATGGTACGTCTTTCGGAAAATTAGCAACTTGGACATTAAAAAACTATGCAACTAACCGTATTTTGGCATATTGACACCAAATTAGTATATTGAATGTCTTGGTTATGGTACGGGTTACAATTTAACACAAACCTCGTCGTTGTTATTTTGTCGGAATGATAAATATCCATAATCTCTTACAAACTGCGTTGAATAAGCCTTATATGTTACACACAAGACATAGACAGAAGGCAGTGCCCAATCTTGTGGGTAGGACACGTGCTTTGAGGAGAATAAGAGTAGGAATCATCGGACCGACTGGAATCATGCAATAAATCAATTGGCATAATAAAATCCTATGTCTAATATATCCATACGTTGTCTTTTATAAAAAATGTTGTGAGTCCCTCGTGGGCGTTAGCGCATTATACTATCATTAATTAGATGCATGATAAAAATAATCGAGTCAATAATAACCGGCGTTATTGTTTTAATCCATCAAATGGTTCCAACTCATTTTCCGTCAGCAATACTTTCGTAATACGATTTTCGACGTAAATGAGTATTCGCCCCCTTGGTCGCAAATCAATATAGCATATACATTGCAGAGTTTGCAGAAATGACCCATAATTTCTTCGACTGCAATATGATTGTTTGTTTGCAAATAATAATAACGACGAGTCTTTGTCTTTGATTGTCCAAGTATTCACCCCCTGGGGAAGGCACCGCTCGATTTTCATTAACAATAAATTACTTGAATGTCAATTTTTTACTTTTTGAGAAGTGGCTGAATGGCCATGGAAGCTTCTCGGCTCGTAATCAACATGTCGTCAGACGTTTGGCTTAGATAGTCTAATTGTAAATGGAAATGAGCGACTAAACTTGCCTTTTGATTACCGGGGTAATGTAGTGTTTACGATTTGTGCTAGATGAATATAAAACGCATGCTTTCAATGCATTTTTGTTGAAATTAATTAAGTGCATCAAAGCATTGCAAATCAATCGGCAATTGGGCATACAAAAAGCGCAGTAGAGCAAATATGGCAATCATCTAACATTCCCAATGTCGCTATTGTTTCTACTCCTGCGGATGTCGAACAGTTGAATTGATTAGTTTATTAAAGACACTTTGAGAATCTTGGAGCAAACAACTCGAGAATGGACTAGTCGTGAAAAGTGCTATAACAACAAAGAGACATACATGATATTGCCTATCTATATAACCAACAGTACGAGTTTGTTCAAGTCAAGGAAGACCTCTGTGTTGTTATTATTCTTGTTATTCTTCTTATTCTTCTTATTATTCTTATTTTCGAGTTTTGGTCAAGTTGTGGGGTAAAACCAAAGGATATTATAAGGAGTCCATACCCCGCAGCGTATTCGCCATTAACAAGCTCTTCACATTAACAAAATGTATGGATTGTTTATGCATTTTGTCATAAAGATTTGGATATAACATCTTTCTTACAACTGACTCGCACGTTGTGTGAGTATAAACTATCGACAATAGAAGCTGTTATCACATTGTCTATCTATGACAAGCTCTATCTTTCCTGCGGTTAATTAGGTTTGATATCTAGTAGAATGTCACTAAGATGGCTAACAAATGACGATTATAACGGCTACTTTCACGTTGTCATGCGCTTAATCAGTAATTCGTTTCAAATCAAAATCATGTTAATATTAGAACGAACAACTTGTCGTTGAATGGTGTCCGTTTACCTAACCATCGTTATAACCAGAGTAATTGTATCTTCTCTGCGATACATAATATAAAGCTTGTTTGTTGTATTAGTATTAGATAACCTCCCGTTTTCTCCTGCGGTTTAATCAATCGATTGAGCGTTTTCAATGGAACAGATGTTTTGAATGAGCAATAATTAGCTAGTCGGAAGTTTCAATGGAAAAAATGTGCAGTCGAGAATTTCAAAGAAAAGATGCTGCGAGTGAGCAGTAAGTAGCCAATGGGGACTTTTTTCAAATAGAAAGATGTGAGTGCGTAGTAATCAACCAGTCGAGAGTTTCAAGAACAGATGCTGCGAGTGAACAGTAATTAGCCAGTCGAGACTTTTTCAAGTTGTGAGCGTATGCAGTAATTAGCCAATCGAAACTTTTTTCAAATGGAAAGATGCTGTGAGTGTAAGCAGTTAGTAGCCAATCGAGACTTTTTTAAACGAAAAGATGTTGTGAGAGTAAGCAGTAAGTTGCCAATCGAGGCTATTTCAAATGGAGAGAAGCAGTAAGTTGCCAATCGAGACTTTTTCAAATGGAGAGATGTTGTGAGCGTAAGCAGTAAGTTGCCAATCGAGACTTTTCCAAATGGAAGATGTTATAATGTAAGCAGTAAGTTGCCAATTGAGACTACGACGCAGTAAATTACCCATTAAATGTATGCTATGTGCATCATATTGTGCGTTCATTGTCTTTGATTTTTC